TGCATGTGCAAAACTATATATATATATATATATATATATATATATATATATATATATATAGTTTTGCGCATGCATTGTACTGTATTTTGGGGAGGGGTTGCTTTTTAAGTCTCTTCTGTTGTGTTTTTCAGTGTTTTTCTGAGTGATGGTCACTTGCTGGCCTGGTAGGTATATTGTGTCCAAATTTGGTGTCGATTCGTCCGGTAGTTTTTATTTATATATCTTTGGAATGTCCAGGGTGGGAGAAAGAACTCTTGTCCGATGGAGGCAAGTGTGAAAGTTGCAACTGACCAGCTTGATTAGCACTAAATGGCCTTTCAGCTTCAAAGCCTGGCTGGTTACTGTCAGGGAGATCCTTTGTTGGTAGGTGTTAGCTGGCCCTGATTGACTCTTGTCTGGAAATTCCTCTGTTTTCTGAGTGATGTTCTTTTAGATTTTTTTAAATACTAGTTGCCCTAAAACCAGCACTTTGAATTGTGCTCAGAAGCTAATGGGCAGCCAGTGGAGCTGGTGTAACAAGGGAGTTGTACGCTCCCTGAATGCTGCTCCCGTGAGCAGCCTGGCTGACGAGCGTTGAACTAGTTGGAGCTTCGGGCAGTCTTCAGAGGCAACCCCATGTAGAGTGTGTCACAGTAGTCTATTCGGGATGTAACCAGAGCATGGACCACCGTGGCCATGTCAGACTTCCCATAGAGTGCTGGTGCCTCCTCAAATAACAACTCCCAGGATTCCATAACATTGTAGGAAGAACTTCCTGACTGTGAGAGCTGTTCAGCAGTTGAACTCTCTGCCCCGGAGGGAGTGTGGTGGAGGCTCCTTCTTTGGAAGCTTTTAAGCAGAGGCTGGATGGCCATCTGTCAGGGGTGCTTTGAATGCAATATTCCTGCTTCTTGGCAGGGGGTTGGACTGGATGGCCCATGAGGTCTCTTCCAACTCTAGGATTCTATGGTTCTATGAGCTGTGGCAACCAACTGGTATCAAGCTGCATTAACTCTACAGTCTAGAGACGCACCCACAGCCCCACCTGAATCATGAATTTTGATCAAGAGGTGGGAGAGAGGACCTTCCCTGTTGCCTTTCTCTGCTGGCAGAGAAAGACCTTTTTATTGAGGGAGGCATTTGGTTTTGTAAATGTTGTGGCAGATGGAGCTTTTCGTGGGGGCGAGGTGTTTCTATTTTATGATGTTTTACATATGTGTTAAAATTGCTTTTAACTTATATATATATTTAAAAAAACACAGGAATCTGGCTTGAGTGTGAATTGATTTTTGCATTAATAGTTTATTGGCTGTGCTATTCTAAAGCCTTTGACAATTCCAGAGAGATATTGACAAGCTGGAATGTGTCCAGAGGAGGGCAACTCAAATGATCAAGGGTCTGGAGAACAAGCCCTATGAGGAGCGGCTTAAAGAGCTGGGCATGTTTAGCCTGAAGAAGAGAAGGCTGAGAGGGGATATGATAGCCATGTATAAATATGTGAGAGGAAGCCACAGGGAGGAGGAGGGAGCAAGATTGTTTTCTGCTTCCCTGGAGACTAGGATGCAGTGGAACAATGGCTTCAAACTACAAGAAAGGAGATTACATCTGAACATGAGGAAGAACTTCCTGACTGTGAGAGCCGTTCAGCAGTGGAACTCTCTGCCCCGGAGTGTGGTGGAGGCTCCTTCTTTGGAAGCTTTTGAACAGAGGCTGGATGGCCATCTGTCAGTGGTGATTTAAATGCAATATTCCTGCTTCTTGGCAGAATGGGGTTGGACTGGATGGCCCATGAGGTTTCTTCCAACTCTTTGATTCTATTTTATGACTGTGTGGATCATAACAAACTGCGGCAAATTGGTGGGATGGGCATCCCAAGCCACCTTCCCTCTCTCCTGAGGAATCTGTACAAGGACCAAGTAGCAACAGGCAGAACTGACCATGGAACAACAGACTGGTTCAAGATTGGGAAAGGCGTACAGCAAGGCTGCATACTCTCACCCAACCTTTTTAACTTGTATGCAGAACACATCATGCGATGTGCGGGGCTTGACGAATGCAAGGCTGGGGTGAAAATTTCTGGAAGAAACATGAACTACCTTAGATACGCAGATGATACCACCTTGATGGCCGAAAGCAAGGAGAAGCTGAGGAGCCTTCTGAACAAGGTGAAAGAAGAAAGGGCAAAAGCTGGGTTGCAGCTAAACATAAAAAAAACCAAGATTATGGCAACAAGAATGATTGACAACTGGGAAATAGAGGGAGAAAACATAGAGGCCGTGACATACTTTCTAGGTGCAAAGATGACTGCAGACGCAGACTGCAGTCAGGAAATCAGGAGACGCTTACTTCTTGGGAGGAGAGCAAGGACCAATCTCGATAAAATAGTGAAGAGTGGAGACATCACACTGGCAACGAAGATCCGCATAGTTAAAGCAATGGTATTCCCCATAGTCACCTATGGATGGGAGAGCTGGAACACAAGGAAGGCTTAGTGAAGGAAGAGAGACACTTTTGAGCTGTGGTGCTGGAGAAAAGTTCTGAGAGTGCCTTGGACTATGAGAAGATCCAACCAGTCCATCCTCCAGGAAATAAAGCCCAACTACTCATTGGAGGGAAGTATAGTAGAGACAAAGGTGAAGTCCTTTGGCCACATCATGAGAAGACAGGAAAGCTTAGAGAAGACAGTTATGCTGAGGAAAATGGAAGGAAAAAGGAAGAGGGGCCGACCAAGGGCAAGGGGGATGGATGGCATCCTTGAAGTGACTGGATTGACCTTGAAGGAGCTGGGGGTGGTGACGGCCGACAGGGAGCTCTGGCGTGGGCTGGTCCATGAAGTCACGAAGAGTCAGAAATGACTGAACAAATGAACAACAACAAAGCTGTACTGTTGGCTGGAAGTCACCTTCAGTCCTGTAAGAGCATAAAGGCAAAATACAGTGAGAGATAATTGGATGGATGGATGGATGGATGGATGGATGGATGGATGGATGGATGGATGGGTGTATGGATGGGTGGATGGGTGGATAGATGGATGGATAGATAGATAGATTAGATAGATAGATAGATAGATTGATTGGTTAGATAGATAGATAGATAGATAGATAGATAGATAGATAGATAGATAGATAGATAGATAGATAGATAGTAAAGGTAAATTCCCTCCTTTCAGGGCGTTTCTACCTCTTTTCAACCCTGGAACATGTGATGAGCTCTGTACTTCTCTATGCTTGGAAAGAGGCTTTCCTACCAGGGGGAAATGTCTCAGTGTCATGAGGTCGATTATCACAGTCCCCTCCTTGCAGGACACTTCTGACTTTGCAACCACAGAGGACTATGCATGATAGCAAGAAGTAGTTCAACTCATGTGATGAGCTCCATGCCTCTCCATGCTTGAAAAGAGGCTGAAGTGCCCTACGACTGGGAAATTGCTCAATGTGCTAATGTGGCAAGTATCATTGTGCTGGCATGGCTGTGCCAAGAGATTTGAATTTCTTTTTCTTGCACTGTTAGTTTGCACGAATCTATTCAAGCTATGCTTTTTTGAATCAGGTGGCTTCCCCAGGTTGCAATCATAGGGACAACAACCTATCAATCATCATTAGAGCCTTTAGATCTGCCCCTTTCCCCAGGTTCTGGAGGGAAAGGGGGGCTTTCAGTTCAGTCTCACAGTTTGGAGCCCTACAGTAGGACGTGTGGGCTTTTCTCTACCCCACCTGTAAAAAGCTTTGCTTCTTACAGCTCTGCCGGGGTCAAAGAAATAGATCTACAGCCAGCTTTTGCTGGGGTTAAAGAAATAGATCTACAGCCAGCTTTTGCTGGGGAACGAGGAAAACCTCTACAGCTTTGCTGGGGAGTAAGGTTACAGTTCCACAGCTTTGCTGGAGGAATACAGCCAGCCTTTGCTGGGCAAAAGAAATAGTTCCTACAGCCTTCGTTGAGAAACTAAAGGGCAGATCTACAGCAACCATTGCCTGGTAAGGGACCACTTGGGCTATCCATAACGCAGCTTGGAGCCGGGAGTTGGGGCCTCACGCTAGCAGGGTAAAGAAAGATTGCCTAAGGAGGGGTCGGAAGGTTTCCCTAAAGAAGATAGGAACAGTTTTTCAAGATTACATGGCATTTTATTCATTTGTTCGAAGATTTAAGCCTTAATAAAGAACTTTGTTGGACTTATTTAGAGCCTCTACAGAACTTTGTGTTGGGAAATCTGTGGGACCCTTTAGCTGAGGCACCCCGGCGTCTCGTTGGGCATACAGAAAGCACGTCTTATAAACAGACATTGTCATAGGCCCAGCGCGCGACAGCACAATCATAATCACAAATCCTTCCTACTAGCCTTGCCTTGTGGTCAGCCAGGATCAAAAAGCACTATGACTAGCTTCAGCCAGTATCTGTCCCAAAAACCAACCAACCAAAACAAGAGAGCACTGGGAGACCTATTTCTGCTTCCAAGGAATTTCCCCCTCTCTGCGCCCAACGCAAAGGGGAAGCATTGATGTGTGCTCTCTCGAAACAAGAAGTCGTTCCCCTCTCCAGGGATCCGCTGCACGGAACCAAAGGGATTGATCGTCCAAATGTGTCGGGTCAGCCCTTGCTCTAAAATTTCAGCTCGTGCTTGCATCCTGCATGCATTATTTACTTCCCAAAGAGCAGCGAAGGAGAATGGCGGAAGGGCAGAAGAAGGAGCGGTTGCAAAGGGCAAAGCAATGGGCAACACACAACCTGGTTGGGGACAGGTTTTGAAACACTTCATTGAAACACATGTAAACACACACCAAGTTCAGGTTAACCTTCAGAACAATCATAAAAGCTATTTCAGCTGCAAAGAAATGATTGGTCCAAAATCATCAATGGCACATCTTGGCTATTAGAAGATTCGAACCCAAACCGTGATCCCCTTTATTCGTGCATTTACCATAATCCTGCATTCCTCAACCATGGTTTCTGCCAGGGTTCCAAATCGTTGCTTTAAAGGTCATGATTATATAACATTCATGAGATCAGTTCCAATAAATCCCTACCTGGAATCTGCTTTTTGGTCCTGAATCCCTCAGTCCAAAAAGAAATGTTTATTGGGAATGCAGAGGAAGACTTCTGGAGAATGAATGGACCTAGAAAGCAAACCAAAACAAAAGGTTTACATTTGAAGTCCTGCATTCAGGCCTCAAAACATTGGTCAGTTACCATAAAATGCATCATTACTGTCCTTAATGGCAGATTTTCCCAATCTATAAGTTCTTCTACAATGTTGAATTAATTCAGTTTGATGTCACTTCAACTGCCATAGGTCAATGCTGTGGAATCCCGGGAGGTACACTTTGGACATTATTCCGCAGGTCCACTTGCCTCATTTCCAACAAACCTCTGAACAAACCTCTGGGGATGCCATTAGAATCATAGAATCATAGAATCAAAGAGTTGGAAGAGACCTCATGGGCCATCCAGTCCAACCCCCTGCCAAGAAGCAGGAATATTGCATTCAAATCACCCCTGACAAATGGCCATCCAGCCTCTGCTTAAAAGCTTCCAAAGAAGGAGCCTCCACCACACTCCGGGCAGAGAGTTCCACTGCTGAACGGCTCTCACAGTCAGGAAGTTCTTCCTAATGTTCAGATGGAATCTTCTCTCTTGTAGTTTGAAGCCATTGTTCCATTGCGTCCTAGTCTCCAAGGAAGCAGAAAACAAGCTTGCTCCCTCCTCCTCCCTGTGGCTTCCTCTCACATATTTATACATGGCTATCATATCTCCTCTCAGCCTTCTCTTCTTCAGTCTAAACATGCCCAGTTCCCTAAGCCGCTCCTCATAGGGCTTGTTCTCCAGACCCTTGATCATTTTAGTCGCCCTCCTCTGGACACATTCCAGCTTGTCAATATCTCTCTTGAATTGTGGTGCCCAGAATTGGACACAATATTCCAGGTGTGGTCTAACCAAAGCAGAATAGAGGGGTAGCATTACTTCCTTAGATCTAGACACTCTGCTCCTCTTGATGCAGGCCAAAATCCCATTGGCTTTTTTTGCCGCCACATCACATTGTTGGCTCATGTTTAACTTGTTGTCCACGAGGACTCCAAGATCTCCAAGATCTTTTTCACACGTACTGCTCTCGAGCCAGGCATCGTCCCCCATTCTGTATCTTTGCATTTCATTTTTTCTGCCAAAGTGGAGTATCTTATTTGTCACTGTTGAACTTCATTTTGTTAGTTTTGGCCATCTCTCTAATCTGTCAAGATCGTTTTGAATCCTGCTCCTGTCCTCTGGAGTATTGGCTATCCCTCCCAATTTGGTGTCGTCTGCAAACTTGATGATCCTGCCTTCTAGCCCTTCATCTAAGTCATTAATAAAGATGTTGAACAGGACCGGGCCCAGGACGGAACCTGATGTTTTGCCACAGATGCAGGCAAAACATCAGGAAAGAATGCTGCTGGAACAGGGCCATACAGCCCCAAAACCTCACAGCAACCCATTGAATTACTATTTGGAAATCCATTTAAGGGGGCATCTACACTGTAGAATGAATGTAGTTTTACACTCATCTTCATGGAATCCTAAGATTTGGAGTTTTACAAGGTCTTTCGCTTTCTCTGTCTTTTTCTCACCAAACTACAAATCCCAGGATCTCGTTAAACTGAGCCATGGCAGGTCAAGTCGGGGCAAATTACACTAAGTCCACTCCAACATCTAGTTCAGATTAGCCACTGGATTCAGGCTAGGGATGGGAATCATGCAACTGTACTGTCACTCCCAGCATTCTGCATATCTGACTATGCTACGTAGTGGCTGCTGAGCCTTGAAGTCCATCAACCCCCCAGAAGGACGCATGACACTTTCCTCTGAGTGGGCTACTGAATTTGATAGACATGGACATTATACCAACAGGACGTTGCCAAAAAATAAAATGAAAATTCTTGTAAAGTACATCGCGCCCTGGAGAGTGTTCAATTACAGGCGCAGCATTTAACCTGATCTCCCACTTTGCTAATATCAGGCTTATTAGGTGTTTTCACCCCACCCTTCATTTCTGCTTCCTGTCTTTCAAATGGCCCTTTTACAGCTAGACCCAGATCCAAATATTATCTAGTTTTCATATGTAGGCAGAAGGAAAGAAGGAAATGAATGAATGAACTCCTAGAATCATAGAATCATAGAATCAAAGAGTTGGAAGAGACCTCCTGGGCCATCCAGTCCAACCCCATTCTGCCAAGAAGCAGGAATATTGCATTCAAAGCACCCCTGACAGATGGCCATCCAGCCTCTGTTTAAAAGCTTCTAAAGAAGGAGCCTCCACCACACTCCGGGGCAGAGAGTTCCACTGCTGAACGGCTCTCACAGTCAGGAAGTTCTTCCTCATGTTCAGATGGAATCTCCTCTCTTGTAGTTTGAAGCCATTGTTCCTTGTCCTAATCTCCAAGGAAGCAGAAAACAAGTTGCTCCCTCCTCCCTGTGGCTTCCTTTCACATATTTATACATGGCTATCATATCTCCTCTCAGCCTTCTCTTCTTCAGGCTAAACATGCCCAGCTCCTTAAGCCGCTCCTCATAGGGCTTGTTCTCCAGACCCTTGATCATTTTAGTCGCCCTCCTCTGGACACATTCCAGCTTGTCAATATCTCTCTTGAATTGTCCCTAAGGGGACAATTGTCATTATTTCTTCCTCCTTGATATGCCTTCTGTGAAAAACAAGATTTCTTTTTATCTATCACAAGCTGAACCTATAACAGTTCTAAAACTATGGTTCTTAAATCTATATATACAGGGAAGTCATGCTCCCCATGCTCTATTCCGCTTTGGTTAGACCACACCTGGAATACTGTGTCCAATTCTGGGCACCACAAATGAAGGGAGATGTTGACAAGCTGGAATGTGTCCAGAGGAGGGTGACTAAAATGATCAAGGGTCTGGAGAACAAGCCCTATGAGGAGCGGCTTAAAGAGCTAGGCATGTTTAGCCTGAAGAAGAGAAGGCTGAGAGGAGACATGATGACTTTGTATAAGTATGTGAGAGGAAGTCATAGGGAGGAGAGAGCAGGCTTGTTTTCTGCTTCCCTGGAGACTAGGACGCAATGGAAGAATGGCTTCAAACTACAAGAGAGGAGATTCCATCTGAACATGAGGAAGAACTTCCTAACTGTCAGAGCTTTTTAGCTGCTGCATCACAGTGTTGGCTCATGTTCAGCTTGCAGTCTACTAGATCCCTTTCCCATGGACTATTTTCAATGAAGAGATGTGACTTAAGTCAGTAAACTCAGTACCTGATTTAGGAATATCTTTGGTATTCATAGAATCCTAGAATCAAAGAGTTGGAAGAGACCTCCTGGGCCATCCAGTCCAACCCCATTCTGCCAAGAAGCAGGAATATTGCATTCAAAGCACCCCTGACAGATGGCTATCCTGCCTCTGTTTAAAAGCTTCCAAAGAAGGAGCCTCCACCACACTCCAGAGCAGAGAGTTCCACTGCTGAACAGCTCTCACGGTCAGGAAATTCTTCCTCATGTTCAGAAGGAATCTCCTTTCTTGTAGTTTGAAGCCATTGTTGCATGTCCTAGTCTCCAGGGAAGCAGAACACAAGCTTGCTCCCTCCTCCCCGTGGCTTCCTCTCACATATTTATACATGGCTATTATATCTCCTCTCAGCCTTCTCTTCTTCAGGCTAAACATGCCCAGCTCCTTAAACCGCTCCTCATGGGGCTTATTCTCCAGACCCTTGATCATTTGAGTCGCCCTCCTCTGGACACATTCCAGCTTGTTAATATCTCTCTTGAATTGTGGTGCCCAGAATTGGACACAATATTCCAGGTGTGGTTTAACCAAAGCGGAATAGAGGGGTAGCATTGCTTCCCTAGATCTAGACACTAGGCTCCTCTTGATGCAGGCCAAAATCCCATTGGCTTTTTTTGCCGCCACGTCGCATTGTTGGCTCATGTTTAACTTGTTGTCCACGAGGACTCCAAGATCTTTTTCACACGTCCTGCTCTTGAGCCAGGCATCACTGTCCCCCATTCTGTACCTTTGCATTTTGTATTCATTGATATCCTAGTGTTGTGTCTGTTGCAAATGTTTGTCCTTCTCAGCCTTCTCCAATGTAGGCTGGCAAACTGCTTGATTTGCGTCCTTGATATTTGAAAAGGGATGTTTTGTGGCTAAAGTATTGGACGGTGATACAGATTTGCTGGAAATGGGTAAGAGCATTCCTTGGTCCACCATCACCATCGTGAACATTGGCACCTGAAATAGACCTGGGAACAAACCTCCACCTGTAACTGCATTCCTAACGGCTATGTGACTGTATAATTAATGTTTTTGTTTTTAATTTTTTGCATATTTATGGTTTTATATTGATGTTATATTGATACTGCGGCATCGCATTGTTGCTAAAGTTAGCCGCTCTGAGTCCCCCTCGAGGGTAAAAATGCTGTAAATAAATAAATAAATAAATAGAGAGAAGTGCTTGTTTTTGTCTATTCCACTATCCTGGAGGAATTAAAACAATGGTCCTCAAACATTTTAAACAGAGGGCCAGGTCACAGTTCCTCAAACTGTTGGAGATTATAATTTGGAGGGAAAAAATGAATGAATTCCTATGCACACTGCACATATCTTATTCATAGTGCAAAAACAGAAACAATACAATAATTAAAATGAATAACTTATTAAAATTTCAGTGGGAAGTGTGGGCCTGATTTTGCCTGATGAGATAGGATTGTTGTTGTTGTTGTGGCTTTCACAATTTTAGACTTATGTTGACCCTCAGCAAGGGCCGGGTAAATGACCTTGGAGGGCCGTATCCTGCCCCCAGGCCTTAGTTTGAGGACCCCTGAATTAAAGCATACTATTCTTGCTACAGGTTGAGCATTCTTGATCAAGAATACCAAAGTCCAAAATATCTTTAAATCCGTGGCTGAATTCGTGGCACTCAGTGCACACACATTTTGTCTATAAAATGACCTTCCAGGTGCCTATGAAAAAATATGGATATAAGGTTAGATTTGGATATCATGCTGGGGAAAGTGACCAGTGCCCAAGGTTTCCAACGGGACTGTGTTTTAGCTTGCAGAAAACTACAACTCCTACTTCGCAAGTCATGGTCTGGTGCTCTAACTATTGTATTTTGCAGA